AATTTGATGTATATGCAAGGCTTTGGATGTGGATGCAGGGCTTTTGATTAGAAAATTAGTATTAAGGACAAGGAATTTAGATGCAGATGCAGAGCTTTGGAGTTTGAGTGTTGTTTTTTGTAAATTATTAATAAATAATTCGAAAACTGAGAGCCAAATTTATTAATTGTTTGTCTATGTATCTACTTTGCAATGACTCTACAATGGCTGCGATGGCAGTAGCCTGATGCACTAGGTTTAGTTGTTTGTTTTTGTTTGTTGTACTTTCCCGTTCATATACCTCGATTCTATTTCAATTGCTTTTTACAATTGTTCATTTAATCTCAGTTATGTAAATAAATGCAGAAAAATGTTGTTGTTTGATTCCTTTTGCTGAAATACTTCAGTTTTATTTGCAGTTCTTGGTTTTTCTTGCATGGTATTTGTCCGAGAAGATCAAAGTGTTTGATCATAGAGGCCATTCCGCAAAGCTCTGCATTATATTTCTTCCATTACTATGTGCTGCTCTCGTGGGAATCTCTCATGTGATGATTACTTAATCATTGGCAGGAGGTCTTCGTCGGAGGTCTTGTAGGAACTGTCACAGCTTCGATTTGTTACCTGCAGTCCTTCCCTCTCCTAAACCAGCGGGTTGGATGGGCACCTCAAGTGTATTTCCACATGCTCAGTATAGAGAGGAATGTTGGCGTGTCCTTATCTTCGACCACGAGGTTAAGCTCTTTTCATATGCGAAGAACAAATATCGAGAGTCCATACTCAAGCATGCAAGATTCAAGTGCACCAGTCCACTAGTTACTGGAAGAAGGGAGAAGATCCCGAGTTGTGTTTGTATGTCAAATAGAAATTATATAGAACGTATATATACATTTTGTATACACAACATAGTACTTCATTCGATGACTCCATATCGTATGTGTAGCTCCTAACATCATTCTTTATTAAATTAAAATTTTATATAAAAAAAAATGTATGACTTTTGTTTTGGATTTGCTTTGTTGGTCTTTTGGGTGATGAATGTGATGGTTTTTCGTTATCCTGCTTTTTAGTCTGAGATTGTACCAAACGTTTCACCAAGTGAGTCACCAAGTTAGTCCAGCTTAGTCTAATCTAAGTCATTCCAGTGTAGTCTCTGAAGATAGTCCAATATGAGATAATCCAGTGCAACAAATGCACCCAAAGGTGCATTGCTTAACAGGACTAATTTGGTAGCAAATTCTAGCTTCAAAATTACAGGAGAGATGGAATTAGGTCCTCTAGCAAAGTGAGCAACTTTACTCGATACAGGCTTTCCTGTCAATGTCTTAGAAGGGCTCAGTTTTACAATAGGAGATCTGTGTACCACAAAGAAAAACATTGTCACTTTTTTTTAAAAAAAAAAAATTTCAAATTTTAATTTTACAAAGAGAATAATGATTCTAAATTGATTATAGTGGTGTAAAAATGAAGTTACCTTGTGGAACAAATGTAGAAAATCACGCTTGAGTTACCTTGTAAAATAATTTGGTGCCAAGTTCGTTGTCAACAACAATGCAGGGGAAGTCATTGCTGCAAGCACCCAAGAGATTACTAGGATTCCTACCAATAATCACTCCAACTCCGCCTGCACTTCTAACAGCAGATACGATGCTGGTAATTTGTTCTTGCTTGGGCTCCGTTGTGAAGCAAATGACTACATTTCCAGCAACAGGAGTGTTATTTAGTCTCAAGGACCCGCAAACACTGCAAGTAAGTGTTCAGTGTTATGGTTTTGGTTCCCAAAATTGAGAGAAATTTACTTACAACGGGTATACCACTATGGCGGTATCTAAGCCAATAATGCACTGCCATGCATTTTAACTTTCCAACACTGCAGTGCATGATTAGCCTGAGATTCGCCGTAGTTGTCTTAGGTAGGTTTTTCTCTTCGACATCACCAACAAACAAGAGAACAAACTCTTTTTAAAGTGCAAATAAATACATTACCCGTATGCTGTAAGGAGGAGTTTTGGACCTTCTGGATACACCAAATCAGTAAAACCAACCTCTTTTCCTGCAAACATGGCTTGCCCCTAAAATATTTATCAAGCAAATCAATGGAGAAAAAGGATAACATATTAATGCTTAATCAGAAAAAGCTTAATCATATTAATGATCAATTTAGAGAATTAATTTGCAACATATTTTGTATAAGTCACCAGTAGAGTTTTGTTTTTTTCCGAGTGTGATAGGCATGGGGAAGGATCTGTCGATGGTGGTAGCTGCAAATCGCCACTGTCTGAGGATTAGGTCCAGTATTGCCTGCAACACAAACAACGGTAATACCTGTTCAAGCCAAATCTGTCCCTCGCACAACTCCTCAGGGTTCTTGCCTGTCGGGCAAGATTTGCTGCTTGGTGTGCTGCAATGTGAGTTTGCTGTTGGTTTAAATGGTGCCTCTGTGGGGCCTTTGTTAGGCCTTGGGGCTCACAATCAAAGCTAATATGGATCTGAGTGTGCCACTGTTATTTTTGTATAATAGACTATTCTTTTTTAGTTATGAACTGGGTTAATTACTTGTGCCACAAGTTAATTAGACTTCTTGGTTATCAATGGATTGTCACAGATGGTTAAGTCTGTATAAGGTTCTTTTTCTGGAAAATGAAATGTAAATAAGATTTCCTAAAGGGATTCGACACTATAACACTGGGGCAAGGTAGCAAAGCTTCTAAACTTGATAAAAGATGGCTTTCTATGGTGAATCTATGACTAAAAGGGGGAAGTTTGGACAAACTAAGGCTTTCTTGTTTCTGGCTTGTCTAAGAGCAAAGTGGGATGTCTTTCGATTGATTGGTTGAGTGTCCTTGTTATTGGTGTCCCTTGCTGCTTTTATAGATGTTTTAGCCTGACTGAAGCCTTGCCTTTTGGGGAAGGCTTCTAGACCATGGTGAGTCACCAGTTTATTTGCTTGCCCATACCCTCGAACTATGCTTTTTGCTAGGAGTGAGCTGTCTTCATTTTTTCCGTAGGCTTGTTGCCTATTCCTTGTAAAAATGGTTTTTAATTCTTCCTAGGCTGTCTATTTGCCCAAGCCTAATCTCCTTCTTGCTTTTTGTGTTCTTGGGCCTCCGTCGTCATAAAGCCCAGTGTTAAATATTAACTCAAACAATACCTTTGGCCACAACATGGAATGAGCCAATGGCTTTTGTGTCGCGCTTATCAACCTCAAACATAGGATTAGGATTGTTGGGGCTAATAGAGAGTGACAATGCATCTACACCATCATTTATTGCTTCATCAGTAGCTCTAAGCATATCAGCAGCAGCGCATATGGAATATGGCACATTCCAACATACCTTGTACACGGCCAAATGAGCCGTGGTGCACCACCTCGGACTAATCCTAGGGCAAGCCCTTTGTAACTTGCATTGGCCACAAAGGAACCAGCAGCGGTTGTAACAGTGTGCGTTCCGTGTCCTTCGTGTCCTTCAGCATCTCTCAGACACAAGAACTCCAGAAATTCTGTATTGTTGAATGATTGCTCATTGTCAGCAAGGAATACATCTATGAACCACTTTGCTCCTGTAAGTTTTATGTTGCAGTCTGTTGTGGCATTGAAGCGCTCTTCTGATTCACATCCGCCCTTCCAACGGGTAGGGATTGGCCCAACCCTCTCATCAATTAGCATTTTCAACTCTGGCCATATTCGGGTGTCAATGATGCCAATGACAATCCCATCTCCCATGTTGGTCTCATGCATAACATTGGTGGGGGAATGAGAAGAGAGGCCTAGGTAATCCCAACTCCTAGTAGTTTGCGGTGTGTATAAGGTATTTGGCATGACATGAACAACTCCAGAGAACTCTGTCAAGATTGAACAGCAGGAATATAATCATTAGTTATGATCCCCAAATTTTAGGGCATATATAATTGTATGTTCAAAAGTACGTACCTGAAATCCTCCTTGCTTGCGATTCTGTAAGCTTGGCTGTGAAGCCAGAGAAGCCTTGTCTATAGCTATAGACCATTGAGTCAATGGCGGCTTCTTTGCTATGACATATGATTAAACCACACATAATTGGCAACCATTTTAGATATTTACCTTTTAGGACTAAATTAAGTCACCTTCAGACAGGCAATCAAGTTTCAGAGGCAGCAAAACCACGAACAAAGCTAATTTGTCTATAAATGTCCTTATTGGACAAGTTATTCAAGAAACCAAAAATTTGTCTATGCGACTTCAAGCTGCTTAATCTGAAACTTAAGTACTCATTCTTTGTGGAGAAGATTGAAGTAGCGTGACAGACTAATGTTATGTGTGTAAATTTACCTGCCAACAACTGATGCCAGCATCTCATGATGTGAAATGATTAAAAGCTCAGGATCCCTATGCTGCTTCTCACCCAAATAAACTATGTGCAGCTACACATCGGATGGACAGTAAATATTAGAGTTAGTTATCCATAAAAAGAAGTTATGCATGCCATTTTCCTCCGCCTACACACGCATGTTTATTTATTGCTTTGGGATTGAATAAGCTAAAAGAGAACCTAGATATATAAATAAACAAGGGTGTGCAAAAGGAGAAAAAAGTGTGCGGATATCATTTTCCAACGAAAATTGCTGAAACTAGAAGCAGTATATACTCTACTTTTGGCATCAACTGATGCAATCAAAGTGTTATGGCCATTGAAAACTAACAGAAAACTAACTGCCATAAATATTAAAGCCACATCGAGGCTGAACTGTCATTATTATGCAGGACAGCAGGAGGTGCATGCACCAATGCTGTATACTTCGAATTAATTTTTCCCACATTTGTCACAGTCGCCGGCCTTTCAAGGTTTAAAATCATGTGTATATCTCACGTGATAAGAGATAAACATATGATTGTACACAACAAGTGACATCCAAGATTTTCTCAAGTAGGATGACCTAGGAAAAGTTAGTTGTTCATCAAGCATTCATACTCCCTCATCTTATTTCAATTGTGAATTATATAATCAACAAATTATGCTCACAAAAGAGAAGGGAAGCAGACCTAGTCTTTGGAAATATTCATCGTTATTATACTTATTCGATTATTCAACCATGTATCTGCATTATTACAATTTACTGGATGAGTATGATCCATTTTCAGTTGTCATCACTATAGGATTATATGATTTGTGTTCTCACAGATATGGGACTTGACACATCATGCACCCCATCAGTCCATGTCAGGCTTCCAAAAAAGTATGCCATGTTCACTTGGTAGGTGGTGGAAACCGCAACTGTAAAGGAAAGTGCCTTAACTGTCGAGTTGAAGACCAATGCCTCTGGCTTTACAACTACATTGATGCCTGGTGGAGGCTCGATTTGGGCTTTGTATGTTGAGATGACAGGGCCAACATTCGTTATAGTTCGAGTGAGTGTTACAGGATTTCTTAGATTTGGAATTGTAATGGAAGGCGGGTTCACATCAAGAATTGAAGGCTTTATAACAGGATATGATGTTGCTTGTTTAACAAGCAGAGAAATAGTTGAGGTGTTGTAGCCAAACGCACAAAGGTAGTTTATGTAGTCATTTGTGCCTATGTCATATATGAGGCCAGGATTCGCTGCCTTGTTCGGGTTCACTAATCCTCCTCCATAGTCAAATGGATCCGCAAACTTTTGTCCTGTCCCTTCAGCAAAGATTGGCTCTCCAAACGGATCAGTCTTCCATGCTGCAAAAGAAGAAAAAAGTTTTGTTATTATTAATGTGCTGACCTAATCTCAAAACCATCCAATTTAACTACACTACGGACACTTGCCAATCGCTTGGACACTAACTATTATGGTTGTAGATCAACCTGTTATGATTAGTGCTGATTTCATTGCAGCAGGGGACCAACCAGGGTGCAATGATTTTAAAAGTGCCACAATGCCTGCAATGTGGGGAGTTGCCAGTGATGTCCCTGATAGCAAGGCAAACCCTCTATCCATAGCAGGATTATACGAACTGGCTGCTAATATGTTCACACCAGGCGTAGCTATATCTGGCTGCGACCAACAAAAAAGTATATTCAGCTGAATCTAAAAATGCATTGCTTAACAGGACTGTACCTTCAAAATTGCAGGAGCGATGGCATTAGGTCCTCTAGAAGAGAAGTAAGCAACTTTAGTCGCTATAGGCTTCCCCGTCAGTGTCTTAGAAGGGCTCAGTTTTACAGTAGGATATCTGTGTACCACAAAGAACAACCTTGTCACATTTTTTTGACAAAGAAAATACTGATTCTAAAATGATTGTGGTGGTGTAAAAATCAAGATACCTTGTGGAACGAATATATAACATTATCTCGGTGCCAAGTTCGTAGTCAACTACAATGCAGGGGAAGTCATCGCTGCAAGGACCGAAGAGATTACTAGGATTTCTAGCAATAATCACCCTGACTTCGCCTGCACTTCTAACAGCAGATACAGCGCTGGTTACTTGTGCTGGCCCAGGCATCGTTGTGAAGCAAATGACTACATTTCCAGCCGCATGTGTGGTATTAAGTGTCAGGGACTCGCAAACACTGCAAGTGAGGATTTTGTGTTATGGTTTTGGTTCCCAAAGTCAAGGGGAATTTACTTACAACGAGGATGCCATTATGGTGGTATCCAAGCCAATCACCCACTGCTGTGCAATTCAACTTTGCAACGTTGCGGTGTATGATTAGCTTGAGATACCGTCACAGTGGTTTTAGGTAACTTTTCTCTTCGGCATCACTAGCAAATAAATACATTACCCATATGTTGTAGGGAATTGTTCTGGGCCTTCTGGATACACCAAACCAGTGAAACCAACCTCTTTTCCTACAAATATGGCTTGCCCCTAAAATATTTTTCAAACAAATCAATGGAGAAAAAAAAGAAAACATATTAATGCTTAATCAGAAAAAGAAAATCGTATTAATGATCAATTTAGAGAAGTTAATTTGCAACAAATTTTGTATGAGTTACCAGTAGAGTTTTGTTATTCCCGAGAGTAATGGGAGTGGGGAAGGATCTGTCGATGGTGGTAGCTGCCACGGTTATGATCCAGGGTGCTACATTCGACACTGTCTGAGGAGCAGGTCCAATATTGTTTGCAGCACAAACAACAGTAATACCTTTGGCCACAGCATGGAATGAACCTGTGGCAATCGCGTCACGCTTATCAACCTCTGCAAACTTAGGATTGTAATTGCCAATAAACAGCGACAATACATCTACACCATCATATATTGCTTCATCAAAAGTTTTAAGCAGATCAGCAGCAGTGCACACAAAATTTAGCACATTCCAACATGTCTTGTACATGGCCAAATGAGCCCGTGGTGCACCACCTCGGACTACTCCTAGGGCAAGCCCTTGGTAACTTGCATTGGCCACAAAGGAACCAGCAGCGGTTGTGGCAGTGTGTGTTCCATGTCCTGCTCCATCTCTCGGAGAATAGAACTCCCGAAATACTGTGTTGAATGGTTGCTCATTGTCAGCAAGGAAGCCATCTATGAACCACTTTGCTCCTATAAGTTTTCTGTTGCAGTGTGTTGTGGCATTGAAGTTCTCTCCTGATTCACATCGGCCCTTCCAACGGGTAGGGATTGGCCCAACCCCATCATCATTTAGCATTTTCGACTCTGGCCATATTCCGAAGTCCATGATGCCAATGACAATCCCATCGCCCATGTTGGTCTCGTGCATCAAATTGGTGGGGGAATGAGAAGAGAGGCCTAGGTAATCCCAACTCCTAGTAGTTTGTGGTGAGTAAAAGCTATTTGGCGTGACATGAACAACTCCAGAAAACTCTAACAGGACAGCAGGAATATAATCATTAGTTATGATCCGAAAATTTTGGGGCATAGATAATTGTAAGTTCAAAAGTACGTACCTGAAATCTTCTTGGCTTGCAATTCTGTAAGCTTGGCTGCAAAGCCAGAGAAGCCGTGTCTATAGCTATAAACCATTGAATCAATGACGGCTTCTTTCCTGTGATGTATGGATTAAACCACGCATAATTAGCAACCATTTTTAGATATTTACCTTTAGAGACTAAATTAAGTCACCTTCAGACATGCAATTAAGTTTGAAAAGCAGCAAAACCATGAATGAAGCTATTTTATCTACAAACGTCTATATTGAACAAGTTGTTATTCAAGAAATCAAAACTTTGTTTGCGCGACTTCAAGCCGCTTAATCTGAAACTTAAGTACTCATTCTTTGAGGAGAAGATTAAAGTAGTTTGAGGGACTAATGTTATGTGCAAAATTAACTGTTGTACCTGCCAACAACTGATGCCAACATCTCATGATGTGAAGTGGTTAAAAGCTCAGGATCCTCATGCTGCTTCTCATCCAAATAAACTATGTGCAGCTACACATCGGATAGAAAGTAAGTACTATAGTAAAAAAGTTTTGCACGCCATTTTTCTCCGACGGCACACTCATGTCTATTTATGGCTTTGCAGTCGAATAAATCAAAAGAGAATCCAGATATATAAATAAATAAGAGTGTGCAAAAGGGGAAAAAGAGTGTGTGGAATTCATTTCCCAACGAAAATTGCTGAAATTAGAGAGAAACAGATATCAAGCTTTTGAAGCAGTATATACTTACTCTACTCTTGGCATCAACTGGTGCAATCAGAGTGTTCTTGCCATTGAAAACCAACAGAAAACTAACTGCCACAAGTAGTAAAGCTTGTTGCTCTTACCTTTCAGCCAAAGGAAACCCATTCTCCCTCTCTTTCTTTCTCTCTCTCTCTCTTTCTCCCCCTCTTGATTATATACGAATGACGGATTTATGAAGCTGCAGCTAACCGAAGAACATTTTCTTGTGTCATTATGACTTTTCATTGTTAAATCAGGTGACTAATAATTGATGTTAGCAGTCTTTGAAGACTATTCTAAGAGCATTCCCATCGTTGGGTTTGGCTAGGGGGACAGGCTCCAAAACAAGGGCCCGAGGGCCGGTGGGAGGGCTCCAGCGTGGGCTAGCTCGATGGAAGGGGGAAGCCCGAGCTCTGGGCCCATGGGGGATTGCCAGCCCGAGAGCCGGAGGTGGGCGTGACGTCAGGCTGACGCCAGGGTGGCGTCAGCGCAATATTTAATTTTTTTTGTGTCAGGCGCGTGCACCCCACCCGCGCGTGGGGGCGCGTCGCCGACACAAAAATCAGAAAAAAAAAAAAAAGAAGCTGTCAGTTACCGTTGGGAAGTCGCGTGGCTTCCCACGGTGCGTTAGATCTCAACGGTCACTTAATTTGGACCGTTCGATCTCAACGGTAAAAAAAAAAAAAAATTAAGTCAAATTTAATATCCACCGTTCGATCTGAGATCAACGGTGGATATTAAAATGCTTTATAAATTAAAAAATAAATGAAAAGATAGTTTTAAAAATCTGAAAAGTTACCATTGTGACACGTGGCACAATCTGGAGTGTTGGAATTGAAATTTTTTTATATCCAACGGCAGAGATTAATTAATTGAATAAAAATTTAAAAAAATTGTAAAAAATTCAAAAAAATATCTGAAAAATCTGAAAAAAAATTGTTTTTACTTTTCTATAAATACCTTTTCATTATCATCTACCTTACACAACAATTTCATATTTTCTCAACTACTTTCAATCACATTCCTTTCTTTGTCTCAAAGTTTGAATCCATTTTTTTTCAACAAAATGACCACTAGTGCAAGTACGAATTGGTCGCTTATTGAATATGTTGCGTTGTGTACTAGCTGGGTTGAAGTTACTCATAGTTCGCTTACGGGTAATGAGATGCAGTTGCGAGAAATGTGGAGTCTTATTCATACCAATTTTCTTGAGAAAATTGGTGGGAAAAGAACCAAAGAATCGATGTCCAGTTGTTGGAAATTACTTAGCCAATCGTTTAGTACGTGGAGAGACGCCTTGGCACAAGCTAGTAGTAATATTCGAAGTGGGCAAAATTACTCGGATCAGGTAACAATATATTATTTATTTGATACCCAAATTTACATTATAATTATTTGTTTGTATTATTTATTTGTTATCTACATAATTTATTATTTATTGTTTGTATTATTTATTTGTTACGTACAAAATTTATTATTTATTGTTACTTATTTGTTACATTATAATTATGTTGCTTGTTACATTATAATTATGTTTTTTTGTATTATTTATTTGTTTGTTACATTATAATTATGTTGTTTGTTACATTATAATTATGTTATTGTTACTTATTTGTTACATAATAATTATGTTGTTTGTATTATTTATAATTATTTATTTGTTACTTATTTTTATTGTGTAGGAGCTTCAAGCACAAGTTTGGTACACTGCCAAAACCAAAAGCAAAAATAAATCATTCAACCAGTGGGAATGTTGGAATATTGTCAAAGATTGTCCTAAATTTAGAGTTGTGCCAGTCGGTCCAGAAGTGTACATGAACAGCACCCCTCTACACTCTACACCTGATCATGTTCATGAAGATGATGCAGAAGAAGTACCCGAAACGCCCCTCCCTGAACGAGCATCGGGTTCGACCTGTTATCCAATTAGGCCTCAAGGTAAGAAGGCTTCAAAGAGAAAAGGGGGTGCTTCCAAGAATGATTATGCAAAGTTCATGGAAGAACTTACTCGCCAAGGTGAATTGACTTTGGCGAGGGAAATGGCGAAAGATGAGGCTGATAAGGCTAGAGAGGCAGCAAAATCAGCAGCTGTTGAGAGAGAATTTTATGCTAATGAGAGAGAAAGAGAGCTACTTAGGCAAGAAAGGGAACATGTTAGAGAAGAAAGACGGGCTCAACAAGATCGTGAGATTATGAACATGTCTTTAGAAGGGAAGTCTCCAAATTCTAAATTTTTTTGGAAGTCAGAGAAAGCGGACGTGGTGCGAAGGAGGCGTGCAAGAGAAACGATAGGCAGCCAAGGTGGTTCTAGCACCACAAGAGAAGATCATCCTAGCACCACAAATTGGTTAAGTGATGATGAATAGAGTACTTTTTGTAATCGGAGCCCATAATTTTTCAATCACTTTGGGTTGTAATTTATTATTTATTGTTTGTATTATTTATGTTGTTTCCAATTTCTTGAATATTTATTCAAATTAATTTGGTAAGTTATTTATACTAAGAATTACCCTTTGCCTCCTTGCTTTCCTCACGACATGAAAGTTATTAACAAACCCTCTACCTCCTTGGTAAGTTATTAACAAACCCTCTGCCTCCTTGCTTTATGCCAATTTGATTTATTATTGTTTAAGCCCACTCTAATATTTTCTTTTATTGAAAAAAAAAGTGATTTTCTACTTGTATAAAATAATTAAAAGTCTATGACCATCGTTCTAATTATCTTCTTTTTTACATAGATTAAAACCCACACGAAGTGTGACTCTGTTTTCTTCTTATAATAAGAATTACATAAACATATACTAAGAATTACATAAACATAAACATAAAAAAATCACATATACTAAGAATTACATAAACATAAACATAAAAAAATTACATAAACATACCAAATAATAAAACACACCAAATAAAATAACATAAACATACCAAATTCAAAAAAACACACTAAATGAACTTAATTATCTTCAGCTTATTTCAATGCCCACTGGTGCTCTATCAAGTCAATTTGTCGGGCATTGTGCATGTCTTGCATTTGAAATGCAGTATATCGTTGAATGAGCCTTTCATTGTAACGTCCATCCCTTTGTAATGGCTCATGTTGCATGGGCTCATCGGTGGCGCCATGAGCACAATATATATGTGTTCTTGAATTGTTCATCGGGTCTGGCTCATATTCATCAACAGCTTCATAATCGTACTCATCTTCCACAATCATGTTGTGAAGAATGATGCACGACATCATGATGGATCAAAGCAACTCTACATCAAACAATCTGGCAGCACCCCTGACGATCGCCCAGCGAGCTTGGAGGATACCGAAACAACGCTCCACATCCTTCCTGCACCCCTCTTGACAGCTTGCAAAGTGTTTTTCCTTTGCACTCCGCGGACGTGGCACTGTTTTGACAAATGTTGACCATCGCAGGTAAATGCCGTCAGCTAGGTAATATGGCCCGTCGTACATACGTCCGTTGACCTCATACGTAACTTTTGGTGCCTTTCCTTGCAGGACATCGTTGAACATTGGGGATTGGGCAAGGACGTTGATGTTATTTTGAGCTTCCGGGACCCCGAAAAAGGCGTGCCAAATCCATGTATCAAAAGATACCACCGCCTCCAGAATGATACTTTTTGCTCCTTTTTTATCCCCGTAAGCGCATTGCCATGCACTTGGATAGTTTTTCCACGTCCAGTGCATACAATCAATGCTTTCAATCATCCCAGGAAAGCCACGCATCTCCGCCTTCTTCAATAGCCGCTCCAAGTCTATGTGTGTAGGTTTGCGGAGGTACTCAGCGGTGTAGATAGATTTGATTGCTCCGCAAAACCTCATCAGGGACTCAAGAATGGTTGATTTCCCCATCCTCGTTATCTCATCCACTTGGTCTGCAGATGCTCCATATGCAAGCATCCGCAAGGCAGGAGTAATTTTTTGCTCAGGCAGTAGACCCATAGCACCAAAAGCATCTTTCTTTTGCACAAAATAAGAATCATGGTTGCAAACAGCAATCATGATTTTGTTGAACAAATGTCGTTCCATTCTAAAACGACGTCTAAAGTACATATCAGGGAATGCACTATTAGGAACAAAATAATCATCCAAGAGTTCCATACCTCATTGTTGCCTGCTTCTATCAAGGTTTCCGGAACGGTTGAGCCTGCAGATCTGAGCCGCAGCTTGGATGACTCGATGGGAATGTGAGGCTCTGCCCTTTCTTACTTTGTCATCTCTCCTTTGACGCTCCTCATCCTCTTCCCTTTCATTTCTTACCCCCTGGTGATTGAACATTGCTTCTGATTCGTTAAAACAATTCTTCCTCTTCCTGATTGAATTCCCACATCATCCTTGAGGAAGAAGAAGAAGACATTGTAAGAAAGAAACAGAAACTATGAATAATGATACAGATTTTTGTGAATAAGGAAGCAGAAACTATGAATAATGATAGAGATCTTGAGAAAATTGGTGTGAGATTTGTGAGGATGGATGGTGGATTATATAGAGGATTTAGAAAGGATTAGGTTGTACATAATGCCACGTGGCATGCCGTCATTCGTTACAAATCTGATGGAAATCTATCCTCAAAGATTGTGAACAGATTATGACATGTGGCATGCCGTCATTCGTTAAAAATCTGATGGAAATCTATCCTCAAAGATTGTGAATAGATTATGACATGTGACGCGACGTGATTGGTTAATAATCTTATCAGA